CCTGACAGCCCTGCTCTTGGATTACCTGCATTCTCCACATGCTCCCTTTGGAGCAAAGAGCCCTCCAGTGAAGGGCTGATCCTCCTTAGGGAAGAAATGGAGCAAGTGTGGAGCACTGCTGCTCCCCACCTTCCAAGCGCTTATTTACTTTTACTCAAAAGAAAATTTTTCATCATCTAGCAAGAAACAGAAAATACTGAGGTGCTGGTTTGCGCTGCTGCTCCCCTGCCATGGCTACTCTGGCAACCTTGCCCTTGGTCCCTAGGAAAGCTAGGGTGTCAACAGGTAGGGAGGAGCTGGTCCTGTTTCCCTGTCCCCAGCTGGAGGTTGTCATTTTTGGAGCCACAGGAGGTGCTTTGGATCCTCTGAGCCTGGCAGAGCAGCACGGCCACACCAGCCAGCGCCCGGCCCCGCGTGGCCCCGCTGCCGTCACTTCCCAGGGCTCCCTCCCCAGCCCTGTGCAATGCTAATTAAAAAGTCAGAAATTCTGCAACGCCTTCTTCCAAGTGCACAGTCCTGGTTTTTGCATGGGCACACGAGGATGTGACCCGAAGATTATATAATTAGAAGGCTTTTGTTATGCTTGCATTTCAAATCAGTGATTAGCATGTGACAGTCCCATCTTGGGAAACGGCAAGCCACCATTGCTCTCCTCTCTCTCTCTCTCCTTTCTTGCACAGTGCTAATTCCCAACTCTAGCAACCACCAGTGCTGAAGGATCTTCAAATAGCCTCGGGTAAGTTTAAAATGTACTCGGCTTGGGATGAAGAGTGGGGTTAATTATGCTGTTTTTCATATTATGGATAAAGCTAGAGCCATAACTAATTATATTGTGTGTGCAGCACATAAAATGATATTTAAAGTGTTTTGCATCTTCAGTGCCCATAGTTATTTTCAGCTGTTTTCTTCTAAGATTCTGAATGGAGATCTAGCTTCTTAGTGTGCTGGACAATCTTGTTAGGCTGCATTTATAGTGAGGTTTCTAAAATAGTTTAAAAAGGCTTTTTTTTTTCTCTCACCATTTACAAGCTAAGTTGAAGTATCATGCTGAATTGACTTATTTGGATGACAGCTGCATTAGAGTTAGTTGGACACAAAGTGCAAGAGTGACGAGAGTAAATAACTGATTTTTTGTTCTCTTTAGAGGACTGGGGGTTGTTCTCCAAGTGGGATATTTAAAACAGCCAGCAATGTCAGCCAGCAGCATTGAGACAGTCACCAGGAAGATCCCAAGCATTTATTTAGGAAAACTGTGGATGCTTAATAACTGAAGCAGCAAAAGTGCACTTGAATTCCTGCACTGTTACCCATGTCATAAATTCAGAAGCATAATGAGGCAGGAAGCCAGACAAACAGTAACAGTTCTGCTCCAAGGCTAGGCTGTGAACGCTTTACTGAACCCTGCCTGCTTGCATGCTGAAGCTTGGTGTAGTCCCTCAGTGTTTTTGATCTGTGATCCTCTGCACAGCTGATTCTCTGCCCCAGTTGTGCCATTCCATGTGGAGGGAGCGCTGGGAGGGGGAGCATGGTCTCACAGTTCAGGCTGCAGGACCTGCCTCCCCTCTCTGCACCGTGCATGGCTTTGTGCAGGAACCCCAGTCCTGTGCTGCCTCAAGGGCACAACTCACTGGGACCTCATCCATCCATCCATCCATCCATCCATCCATCCATCCATCCATCCATCCATCCATCCATCCATCCATCCATCCATCCATCCCTTCTCCCTCAGGGATCTCATGGGAAGTGGGTGCTGGGCCCAGACTCTGTTAACAGGTTGGCTGCAGTGCCAGCTGCTTGTGCAAGGCACCAGGGCAGGGTTCTTTGCATGGCAATGATCACAAACAGCAGAAGTGCTTTGGTTCCAGCAGATTTGGCTGCTGGAGGGGAGATAGAAACAAAAGGGAAAATACATATTTTTGCCACGATGGCTTTAACACCTTCAAATTATTCTCTGGGCTTTGCTCTGGAGAAATTATTCTGACTTGATGAGAACTGCAGGAGTGTAAATGAGTTTTAGTGCTCAGCTCTGAAGAAACAAGCATGTCTTTGCCATTTCTTGTCCCTAAAGCAGGAGACCTGGGCTTGAATGGCAGGCCAAGACAGCCTGGGAATGGCTCCATGTGGCTGGGTACTGAGCCTGGCCAGTGGGGAGCTTGCAGAGGAGCAATAACATCTCCTTGTTGATGAGGGAACTACCCTGTGGTGGCTGGCATGTGAGACAAACCTTGGAATTGCCACAGGTGGAGGCCTGGTAGTGGTTTGGGAAAGGAGCTTCATGGAGGGCTTGCACTTGCTGCTGATGTGCACATGGAATCATGCATGTGTGTACAGGGAGGGACTTGCTCAGAACTGAGACAAAAACATGAAGGGGGGAATCCTCTCCAGCTTTTAACTGCCTCGAGGGGGCTGGAAAAGATCGAGTCCAGAATCTTCCCAGAGGTGCACAGTGAAAGGCACTGGGTGCAAGCTTCAGCTAAGGGGAACCCTGACTGGATGTAAGGAAAAATATTCTTTAGGGTACTGGAGGGCCCAGAGGGGCTGTGAAGACTCCAGTGTGGGAACTGTCCAGACCAGAGCTGGACTGAGTCCTGAGGAAGTTTGACATTACTCTTGATTTGAGCAGGAAGTTGAACTAGAGCCATACAAGAGCTCCTGCTCACCTTGATTCTGTTGTGAGTTTAGGACTTGTCCACTGCCAGCAGAGGCATGGTTTGACTAAGCAGCCCCCATCCAGGGTCTTAGGGCCAAAAACCAATCCTATTTTCCAACCCATTTTTGCACCCTTTAGGCACAAGCCAGACACTGTTCAGCCAGCTCAGGGTCCCTGAAATCCTTGTCCCTGGTGAGGACAGCACTAACAGCTTCCCCACCCATAGCTGGGGGGAATAGAGGACAAACCTTCACTGCAAACCAGGGCAAGGCTCATGTTCTGTTCCAGTAATGAGGAAGGACTGATTAGTTTTGCTTCTTATATTCAGCAATTCAGGAGAACCAGGGAGAGAGAGGCAATGTTACATATTCACCAAGTACAGCAGTGAGCCCTAAATTCTGGAAAGTAGCTAATGTTAATGCAATTATTTAACATAGCAAAGAACCAAGGGGTAACTCAGGAAATTGCAGGCTGCAGATAGAGGACACACAAAGACAGTTACTCTGGTAAAACAGGTAAGATTTTCTGGACCCACTTAACCAAGGTCAACCTACTTTGCAGTGCAGTCAGATAGCAAAACTCCTGGTTTGCCTGGAGCAGGAGGGGATGGTGGCATCCCCGGTGTCCCAGTTTCAAAGACTCACTCTGAGCTCTGCAGAGGACACAGACTGTGCTTAAACATGTCCTTAATAGAATAGGCAAAAAATATGCAAAAATGAAATAAATTCATTTCCAGCAAAATGCTCTTTTGTTTTCAGTGAAAACAGAGGAGGTTCATGTTTCTTACATATCTGTTTTGTCTTTCCCACTTGTTCCTCTTCCCCCAGCATTGAAAAAGCAATTCTGAATTTTAAAACCAGTTCTCTGTTAAGCACACTAGTCCTAGTTCAACACCCCAGTCTCAGGAATTTTCTATGGTGCTCTTTTACAAATAAGTTTATTTTTTCATTAACCCTCAATCTTAAGACGATGTTTAACCTCATGTCCCTCCAGTGCTCTGCTGGAAGCCTTTCAGTTCACACCAGACCCTCCAGCAAGAGGCCAACTGGGTATTCTGTGGCACTGGTAGTGTCACCACTCTCCTCTCCTGGAAATTCCACACTCAAAAAGCTCTCAGGTTTAATGTGTGGGGCCCAAAGCTACACTGCTGACTGCACCAGAAGCACCTGCTTCTGCTCTGATTTCCAGTAGCCACACAGGACTCTTGCATATTTTGCAGTTCTCCCATCTATTTAATGCTCTGTGCCTTCCTCTGTGCCTGCTTCCCTGAACACATCACCCCAGACCTCTCTGAAGCACCTTGGCAGAGCTGTGCCAGCAGAGCTCTGTGCCATAATTCTGCTGGCCACTCTCCAGTCCCGTTAGCAAAGCCAAGGATGACTCACATCAGCCTTCTGCACAGCTGTGTCCAACAGGAATGGAGGTAGCAGGTTATTCCAGAGTCCTAAATCACATCTGGTTTCCTAGTGAGGCTGGACAAAAGCAGACCTGACTCAAACCCTGGGAAAGGGAAGTGTGGATGTGTGACAGGGCCCATGTTGATAAGAGAAGTGTGAGCGGGTACAATCTATTTTTCCCTGTCTCTGCCCATGTCATTAATCAGGCATCAAGGTCCTAATCCCAACAGCAGATGAATGATGAGGTGCATTACCACAGGACTGGCTTGGGCACAGCCTCATGCCCTGTTGTCCCTGGTTCCCACAGAGGCCACACTCTGCACACCGAGGTGTCTTGCAGCGTTCCTGTGTCTCAGTCAGGGAGGCAGTGGACAGAGAAAGCAGGATAAGTGTCTCCTAAAGTGCTGCAGCATTCTGAAGGCAGTATTTTTGTGGCCCAAACACAGGTCTGAAGCAGATTTTGGGTGACTGGTTGCATAGCAAAAAACTGACTCTTGGATGCAGAACACTCGTGCAAGGTGTTCATGTGCTGTTCACACTACAACATATTTTGATTCAGTGTTCATACAGGAAGTATCTTGCTGAGAAAACAGTCTCTGTGGGACTACATAGAACCTTTTAGTCACCTGTCCATGGAAGCACAGATGGCCTTGGGCTGGGAGGGAAGTGTTTGTACCAGCATCCACTCTGTGGAGGCACTGTGAACACAAACAGATCTTTAGGATGCTTCATTATCTCTCAAATCCCTCCTCCTCTCTCTGTTGTCTGAACTTCGAGCAGCTCTGCTCAATAAACCCTTTCTGCATCTTTCTGCACTCAGGGTTCAGATCAGCTGACCCACCCCAGGGCTCACATGTGGGCAGCTCTAAGCCATGGGATGTTCCCAGTGACCAGCCAGAGCCCTCCAGAGTGAGGACAGGAGTCCCTGCGAGGACGCACACCCCATAGCAGCCATGGACACAAACAAACACGAAGGTAAAGCATCCTCTTATTTCACTTCTTGCTAGTATGAAAGACAGCAAGACAGAAATATGCAATCATAGGAGCTGTCTGCTGGCCACCAGCCAGGCCCCTGAGAGCACCTCTCAACCATAGCAGCTGTGGGCAAATGTTCAGTACTTTCAGTTCTTAGAAATATCTGGGGGTTGACATTTTTATTTCTTATTTTAGAACCAACTCCCTCTCCTCTCTGGAAAATACTCCTGAGACATATGTAATGTCCAATGTGGGAAGTCATTCCTTTTCTTGCCTTGTGCCCCATTTCTGCCTTAGGATGTAGAGAGACTTCTGACTGTCCAAAGCTGTGTTTTATGTGAGGGTGCTCTGATGAGGATCTGCTTCTCTCCCCCATGTGCTTTGTAGAGAGGGGTTCTTGTTTGTATCGGTGCCACAACACAGATATCTGCACCAATCCCAATCTTGCAAGCACCAAGATGTATCCAGGCCACATTGCTTGCATACAATCAGTTCTTGCTAAGGTTGGCTGCATTCTAGAAAGTCTGCAAAGCTCAAATCCAGGGTTTTAGTGGTTACTGACTTCTTTCAGAGGAATGTGGTACTTGCTTTCCACCCCAAACCCCTTGCATAGTGTTTTGCCTTGCCACCTCAGAGGCACTGTGTCCATATGGCGAGGAACTCTTGGAAGTATGAGCAGGGGGAGCAGCTCTAGGAGTGTCCACAGCTGTCAGCTCAGGAGAGAGACTGGACCACCTCTTTCCCTCTTAAAATGTGCTTGGTGGTGCCACTATTCATGGCATAGTTACCAGAAAATTTAATTTCTCTATTATTATTATGATTATTCTAATTTGATTAAATTAGGTCTGTGTACCTAGGCCCTTACACTACAGCAGGCTGAAAAGGAAATTAACTCAGGGATTTTTTCCAATTAATTGTTATGCCCTCATGGGCTGCAGATGTTCACTGCAGAAACTGGGAGATCCACAAAGTCCCTTGTTTCCCACAGTGAGACTGTGAGTAGCCTCCTCTGTTTCAGCTCTTTGCAGTGACTTTATAGAAATGATCAGGGTTTTGACTGGTATATTCAGAGAGTAGTGGAAGTAAAGTCACAGTAGCAGTGATCCTCTCCCCAATTCCAGTCTCGCTCAGGAGCAGTTCCTCATTTTTAGTATATCCAAGGACATTACAGACTGCTGCACAATCAAATCCACATGAAAGATCCCTACAGATCTCTGCAGAACATGGCTCAGGCCCTCTGTGTTATGTATCAGATTGAAAGACACAAAGAAAATTTGAGGAGGCTCTCCTTTGCTGTGCTATGCTTCTACCTGACACCTCCAGCCCTTCACATAGCTCTGCACTCAATACACCCACCCATGTTGTACAAAAAGCATCTCTTTGTCCTCCCAGCACCTGTTTGTGCTGTACTGTTAATTCAGAAACATGTCCTCTTGCTGTCTTTGAGTCAGTCCTTACTATCCCACAGCAAGAGCCCAACAGACCTGGCATGGGCCTCAGGTTCCATGATTCAGGAGAGTCACTGTACACATAGCCCCAGCTCCAGGCATCATGAGAAACTTCCAGCCAAAGGTCAGTTCCTAATTCATGTGGTTGCAGATAAAATCTGGAAAAAAAAAAGAACCAGAAAGGCCAAAGCTGAAGATGAAAACAACCTGTAATTTGAAAGTTGAAATGTGGGACTTGGTGCAGGCTGGCTGATGCGTTCTGACCCCAACCAGCTGGCAGTTTGGAGCCACAGTCACTTCTCCCAGTCAGCCTGCTGCTTCTTGTTTTCCCTAGGAGGAAGCATGAGAGGATATTCCCCAGAGGCTCAGTGTCTGACCCAGCTACTCAACCCCACAGCTGAGAGAGCCACTAGCACAGGCAGGAAGTGGCACATGGGCAGAGAGGAGCACACAGCCTCTCTGCCTCTCCTTTCTGCAATTCATTGGGGAATTTGCTCAAGTTGCTCTGAATCAGGACAAATCAGAGAGCCACTAGCACAGGCAGGAAGTGGCACATGGGCAGAGAGGAGCACACAGCCTCTCTGCCTCTCCCTTCTGCAATTCACTGGGGAATTTCTCAAGTTGCTCTGAATCAGGACAAATTCTAGAGACCAGAACAGGGCCATTTCATAGGTGTCCTTGCTGGTAACCCACATTCCCCCTCAGGGGTAAAGAAAATCAGAATGGAGCTTTGCCTTGTATAGCTCTGACTTCCAGGCTTCAACTTTCCACTGGCTGACTGCAGAGTCCTCCCTGCATGCTTTTCCAGCTGCTGCAAGACTGCATTTCTGTGGTCTTAAAGGTCCAGGTTGGAAAAGCATCAAGCATCTGTAGCCAGCATGGAAAGAAGGAGCTTGGCTTCCCCTGGAGCTGGGCATGGGGTTAATGTCATGTCTGTGACTTAACAGCAGAGATGAGTGAGGTAAATCCTTGGAGGCAAGAGAAAACCCATCTTGTGAAGTGGCATTCCCAAGAGGAGGCAATCCAGATGACGAACAGAGTAGCCTGGTGTTTTCTAGGAGTGAGATCCAGCCAGGGAGCCTGATGGAGGGAATAACACCGTGGCCATTGGACTGCAATTGCCTCCAAGGGCAACGGCAGCACAGCCAGCAGAGATTTCTGTTGGACAACTGAAGGTTTCTGCACAAGACAGTTGGACTACGTGACCTTAAAAAGGTCCCTTGCAACTCAAATGATTCCATGATTCTAGGATTAATGCCTAGAGATAATGTCTCTGCAGTGTCCAAAATACTTCTGCAAAATAGATATAATAGATATAATAGATATAATCTCCTCCATCAGCTAAGTCTGTTTCAGCAATGTTAAGTTGTACAAGATCAACTGGGATCACTATACCACAAACCCCCAGGAATGACAAAACCAATGAAAAGGTGTAATTTTGGGAGGTTAGGAAATACATGATTACTGCTTGGATTGCATTGTGACAAAATAAAACTTCAAATATACAGATAAGGTATTTTGCCTTTTATGGAGGTAATAGAAATATGTACAGATATAGCAGAGAATAAAATTGAATGTTTCAGTAGAGAAACAGATCAGTAATGCTTTAGGACAAAAAAAAACAACCCTGTTACCTAAGGCTGGTTCACAGAACTATACTTCACAGGGAGCAATTTAGTCCTAATTGCACATAAAAGCTTTCTCACTTCCTTGTATGGATCAACTCTGGCCAGACAAAGGACAGCAAATAAGGTGAATTTAACATCTGAATTTAGGTGAGTCATTCCTATTTTATAATTGCAGTTTATTTTATAAATTATATGGCGTCCAGACCTCCTAAAGTGAGACTTGAGTCCTTTAAAACTGATTTGCTCCTCAAGAGGGACTTCAAACCCTCTGTTCCAGTTATTTATAGCAGCCATTATAAGTCATTTTAATTGACTGAAGTTCTTTATTCCCACAGGAGGGACTGAAAGTGTGCCTGTGAGTACCCCTGCAACACAGATTTCCCAGGTAAAGATGAGCAAAATGCCCTAAATAACTGCAAGAGTTTAAAGAGTTACTAATATATAAACAGTAGTTAAAAGCTAAATTAAGTTGAAGGAAAAATGTAGGCATTTACAAGAAACATGGCAACGAAAACGTGCACACTGCATGAATAAATATCACACATCTTGGGCCTCATCTTAAAAGACCTTTCAGTAAAATTTCTGTGCTCACAACTAGTTGTATTTAGACAGGTGATTTGTGAGCTCAGCTAATTAAGCAACTGACATCATTAGCACCAACTGGAGAATGTCAATTCACTGAGCTGGGGGGAGATTTCATGACTGAGCTTTGATGAGCTTTCAGCAAACCTGATGAACTGTCCCAGGAGCAATGATCTGTTGACTGACATGGGGCAGGGGTGCCTTATGCAGCTGGGGCCCAGGTCTTCTGTGGGGCTTTGGGTTATCCTGGCAGCCTCCCAGCTCCTCAGACCATGGGGTACTCTTGCCTGATAATCCAGAGCAGCCAGAGTGTTGAGTCTTTCTGCATGTCTTTGTCTGGCCTCCCAGCTAGAAGCCCTGTGATCAGTTCCTCCTGAGCTCTGTGCCTTGTCTTTGGGCTAACATTATTGCTGCAATTGGACACCACAGATGCTGTAAGCAAGGAGCCCAAGGAGTATCCATCCTGTAAGACAGTTTCAGCCTTTCCACAGTGGTGTTTCCCACTCATTTCCAGTCTGCAGGAAATGTGACAGAGCTTTAAGCACTTTAGTCCCTGGTCTGGTTCAATATGGAACCATAATCTGAGAGAGGAAACACACCCCTGAAGTGGAAATCAGGACTATTTGAGACCTCCCTTGTCACCATTGCAACACTAATGTCTGTAATTGCTTGCAAGCGCACCATGGCAAGTGGAGAAGGCACTGCTTTCCATGAACTATCCAGCACTTCTGTCATCTCATCCTCTTTTCCCATCCAGACAGCTCCCGGGGTCCAGCACAGTGCATCAACATGCACGTGGGACTGTGCTGGAAACACCATGCACACATGTTGCTTTCCAGCTGACACGTGGGTACCTTAATGAATCCTTACATGTCAGTCACCAGCTGGCTCTTCCCTTCTGCTTCAGCAAAGGCCCTGAGGACAGTGCAGTTGCCAAAAAGGACTGCACAGATGTGGAACAAGGGCTGATGAGTACTTGCAGCTCCCTTTAAGTCATTGTTCTCTTCTGTACTTACTCTGCTGCTCTGACTGTATTCTTACCATCCTTGCCTAGGAATATATATGCTGGATATACTCCTAGGACCAGCTTCTTTGCCACTGTAAATCACTGCAGCTCTGCTGCTTTCCTGCTATGAGGCACTGCAAGCCTTCCTAATGCTTGGCTGTAGGAGTGCTGCCCTTAAGCACAGGAGTTAGTAGCTGTTCTAAAAATTAGTTGTTTCCTGGGAAAAGCATGCATCATGCAACTCAGAAGAATCAGATCCAGGGCTTGTGTGTCAAACACTGGACTTTGTGCCAGATTGGTTTCAAGCAGTGTCCTCAGGCAGCCCTCCTTTAGAGACACAATGTCTATTTACTTCTTCAGACCAACCCCAAAAGATGTGCAGTGATGGACAGTAGATAAGCTGGGGAAGCACCACAGACAGTACTCCTTCATGGCCACAGAAGGTTTTGCTCTTTTCAAGGATGTATTTATAATAGCAGAATCGTTCTGTGCAATATTTCTTTATCATGAGCCTGTTTTCTACTGATTTTGACAGGCTTCAGCTCAAGGTCCCAGACAGCAGGTCCTGTTCTAGTGTAAGGACTTAGGCAGCTGCCACGGGTGCAGATGCAAATGGCCATCCCTGTGGAGACAGGGGCCTGGACAGCCTGGCCAGTGCTGGGGGAAACCTGTGGGGACACAGCTACTCAGAGGAGCAAGGGCTCCCTCTCATCCTTTCAGTGGCAGCCAGGACAGTGACCCAGCTCACCAAGGCTCTGCTGCCCTTTCCATCCCACTCCTTTCTTCCATAAACCATCCCCATCTGCTGTCCATAACCATCTTCCCTGGGTTGTCTCAAAGCTGAACACATCTTTAGGCTGCAAGGACCGCCGTTATCTTTTACAAATGTCTCAAATTGCTGGCACTCACCGAGAGAGGGGAGAGACTCTGAAGTTTTGCTGCTTCAGCTCCAGGAAGCAGCATCAGTCCTGTGCCCCCTTTGTGAACAGCATGGTTTTTCCACACAGAGCTGAAAAACATCAGGGCAGCAGGTGAAATAGGAGTCATGGGGCCCAAGAAAGACAACTACAGACACATGGCACTGGATGCCTCACTGCTTTGCTTTGTCAGGTTTGAGGGCCGTAGTCCAAAGGCAGATGGGTGCTGAAATCTGTACCTGGTACTAAATTATTTAGATGCCTAAATGCTTTTTTTGAACAGTTGTTGGACAGGTTCAAAGGACTCCCTATGACTGTGCAGATTCATTTATCCTCTAGGCATTAGTTCCATTTAAGTTATTGCTTCTTAAATTCCACAACTTAAATTACTTCTTTACTCCCATGAATAAGTGAGCCAGGGCAACACATTACAGTTTAACTGTTGCTGTATTACACAATCTGTCTTTTTTGGTATGTGTTGCACTTAGAAACTTTGGAAACACAGAGTTGGCTTGACTTTCCAGAGGGTCACAAACCTGTGAAGTACCTCTCTGGTCCTGTAGGCATAGGCCATCCCTGTGGAGACAGAGCCCTGTCACTTGGCCAAGACATGGGCAGGGCCTGATACCTCGATGGCTTCAATGTGTTTTAAATGGGATTTAAAGGATGGTTTTCTACAGCTTGCTTTTAGAAATGAGCTCAAACTAAATCCATAGCTACACCATGCTTGGCAAGAGTCTAAAGATAACATGCTGTTCCTGTACCACTTCACTTGATTTTGGATCAACTCTGCATCCAATGCAACAAGAATGTATTTCCCCTCTGTGCTAACCCTGACCTGCTCAGGGTTTCAGCACTTCTTGTTCCATCATACAAGCTCTGTGGCTGGTTGGTGTTTCTGGCTGCATTCATCCCTCAAGCAGTAACACAAGGATGCATTTCAGTGTCTGAAACAGCCACTGCAGGCTGCATGGGGCTGAGGAAGGATATATGGGGCAGGGTACAGTCAGGCTGGGCTCTAGAGCACTGAGATGGATACACAAAGAAACTAAGCTAGCACTGTCACCACAAAAGCAAGATTGGCCAAAAGCAAATACCAAAATAACAGGTCACTGTCTGCTCTTAGATGCAGAGGATATTTTGTCCAGGCTCTAATCCAACTCTTTCCTTATGTTGGCTGAACTCTGCTTTCATGGAGTGTTTCAGTGGACATGGACACCAAACTCTCTGCAGTGCTCCACTTTGCTGATGCTTTGCAGTTTCTTACTCTGAAACTTCAAGACCAGCAATGATTCCCATCCCTGTACCCTTCAAAGGATCTGTGTAGTTTACCCCCTTTCTGGAAGCATCTGAGAAGGAGATGGCCTGGCTTGTGGGCAGAAACATTTCATTTTTGGCTTATTCTCCCCAGACCATGTCCTCTCCAGCTCTAGGACTGCTCCACTGCTAGCAAAACTTGGGGCTGTGATATCTCCATCCTGAAGCAGATCTCTGAAATGGATAGCATAGGTTAGAATGGAACAGCATATTCCAGTTGGAAGGGACAGATCTAGCAAATCAACCCTTTTCACTTGGAGGGCAGTGTGTGATGCCCAGCCCTGATGCAGGCAGGCAGACAGACTGTGCCTTGGCCATGTCAGCTCAGGGGGAAAGTGTGTCAAGCACCGGCGAGCAGGGATGGGAATATTAATATTTTGCACAGTCACAGTACTTTATAACCCTCCCTCCCCCTTCTCCAGGCACATATGTTAGGATGTCTGATGATGCCACAGCCATCTGGGCTGAGATATCAGAAGCAGCGTCGTCATTGTCTGCCCTAAGCAGCCCCTCTAACCCTTCAGGCTACATTCACAGGTCACAGGGTGACACTGGCCAGGAGGGGTGGGGGAAGTGTTCAGCCAAGGAGTCTGGAGCTCCAGCTGGCCTGGGAACTCAGGGTTGTCATCCTGCTGAAGGAAGATGTCCTCAGCCTCCTGCTCCCCTCTGCACTGTCCCAGTGCCTGTGGTTCCTGTCAGTCCTGCTCCTCCTACCCAGGCACTCTGGAAATGCGTGTCCAGCCAGATCAGAGCGGGGGCTGTGGGGTGAGCGCTGGGGTAGGAGCGGGCATGGCAGGCAGACATCCTCTGTAAAGACACTGCCAGTCTTGACCAGAGGAGGCTGGTGCATGCCATTGCCCCGAGGTATCGGAAGCCATCTCTGCTCCATTTGCAGGACTCAAGCGCCTGAGTTCCCGGGGTGGCTCTCCGCTTACCACCAGTGCTCCTGTTTTGGACTCAGTTTATAACCAGATGTTAGGCCGAATTTCTGTTGTAAAGGTAAAAACCTCTGTGCCTTGGGCCGCGACCTCGCTGTGGGCTTTGTGCAGGCAGGACGAGCCTTGCTGCCAGCAGCGGGGGCAGAGTCCAGGGTCACCAGCCCCAGCTGCTCCCAGGAGGGCATTCCCTGCTCAGCTCTCTGCCAGCCGCTGATCCCCCCTCACTGCCCACCTCCATGCCTGCCTCGTCTGCTTGCTCTGCCAGCCTGGCTTGCCCCAGTCCATCTCCTGCTTCACCCAGCTATCACTGGCAGCCTCCAGCTTAGGTGGTGAGCTCTTCCAGCAGCACCAGGGCCTCTAGGGACAGAAAATAGAGAGAGTGGGCACAGTGTCACTGTATGCCAGGGGAAAACCTCCTGTTCCCTCCCCAGCACAAGTTACAGCTGCCTCCTTCCATGGAAAGGGCCCGTGGCAAAGGACAGAGCTCCTCCACAGCCCTTGGAGAGTGAGGGGTTAGATCTGTGTGGGGAGAGTACGAGCCCCACGAGCACGTGTGGGAGGAGGACTTGCTCAAAACCAGACACGTTCTTGATTACTCAGCTGCTTTGGAGATTAATAATCTGGCTGCTGTTATTGCAAACCTTCTTGGCATGTTTCAGGCTGTCCTCTCCTACTACAGGCTGACAGGCTGCAAACTGCCAGGGAGCCTGGAAAAACTCAAAAAAGTTTTAAAAAAAAGTCTGAAAAAGGGGCACATTGATTGCCCAAGACAAACACCTCCTACTCTGTACTGAGGCTGCAGCAGGGGCCAAACCTCTCCCCATGTTTCCCAGCCATGAAAGGAGAAGGAGAAAGAGGACAGCACCTTACAGGATGGGTTACACCCAGCCTTTGTGACCCTTGGGGACACAAACACCTGAGCCTGGGAGGAGGGACTGAACCCACCTGTTTGTGTTACTGTAGTTGCAGGCATTAGCCTCTGAGCTGAAGGCAGGTTTCACAGAAGCAATGCAAGAGCTGTCACGCATCCAGCATGGAGAATATGCCCTGGAAGAGAAGGTCAAGAGCTGCCGCTGTGCCATGGAAGAGAAGGTGGCTGAGATGAAGAATTCCCTCAACACGTTCAAGGTAGGAGTGTGACCTGTGGGGAGGCTGCATGCATTCCACCTGAGCTTGCCTGGCAGAGGGAAGCATTCCCCTGCCTCCATCAATGCTCCCTGTTTGCAAAGAAAATGAGTGAGCAATTGTTTTGGATACACCTGGAGGACTTCCTTTGGCCTTGGGTCTCCCCTCACTGCTCCAAGTCACAAGTAACCCACACTCAGGCCTATTTAGCCTTCTTGACTGGCCATGAGGCAGTGCTGAGACTTACCTGGGCACAAAGCAGCCCTTGCTCTGGGCTGCACATGCCGTGGGTTTATGGCCTGCTCATAGGCTACTGCTGGGCCACTGTCCCACCCATCTCCCTGGGTCAGGTCTCCTGCATTTCCTGCAGGAACCAAAGCCACTGGGGAGCAGCAAATTAACACAAAACCCTAAAGCCTTTTGAAGTCGCATTTCCACACGGCTGGGAGGAAGTGCTGCCTGGTTTGATCTGGCCCAAGAGGATAAAGACAAAGGGCTGGAGAGACAGCCTAGCAAGAAGGCTTGATGTACACTTTAGACCAGTCAGTGTCTCCATGCAGAAACTGGATGACGAGGCAGGCAGAGGAACTCTTTTATAGTTTTTATTGCAAATTTTCCCCAGGGTGTTTTGCTGAGTCAATAGTACCTTGTGAAGAAAAAGAGGGCTGCTTACTGAAAAAGCTCATTACTAACCCTGTGACAGGGAGACGAATGGCACCAGGCAAAAGGAGCCCTCGGTGCCAGATGAGCAAGGAAAACAACAAAAAGGGCAAGGGCATACTGGAGAGATCTCAGAGCAGCCAGACACAGGGTTACCCAGGACATTGTCATAGGGGAAAGGGGGATTTAAAATGCAGATACAAAGAATTATGCAAGCAACAGAAGGGGCAAAGGCTGCTCTCCCTCTGCCTCATGCCCTTGTTGGCTATTCAAACACTGAGCTCCCAGTGAAGTCACCTCCTTGCCTGGGGGAAATGCTTTGGTTTACATGAAACTCTTGAGTGTTTCTCCTCAATCCTGCTGCTCATATTCATGGAACCTGCAGGAACTTCATGCATCAGAGCTCTACATCTGACTAAGGTTTGGCTGAAACTGCTTGAGGGAGGATGGACAGGGAGGATACAGAGGGCCTCATTTCCTTAGGAAACCAGGCTAAAAGGGCAGATCCATGGCCTGATTGGCAAAAGCTCATACGTGTGAGTGCTCACACTGGGATCTGAACCACGTGCAACATGTGAATAGACATGCTGGAAAACTGCAGAGAGAAATGTGCTCCTTAAGGCCCACCTCTAAATGCCATTAAGGGCAGGAGTCCTCCCAGTGCTTTCAGCTGGTGGTGGTGGATGAAGCCCTGAGTGTCATCTCCCACCAGTGCCTTGTTCATGTGCCACCACGCTGGCTTGGGTGAGTTGCCTGTAGAATTAAGGATCACCATGTGGCATGGCATGTGTGACACATCCTGGCCTTGCAAAGGAACAGTGTCTGATCACAGAGCCACTCCCCACAGCACCCTGAAGCACCTTTTGTGCACACCAGCCAGCATTCAGAGCTGTGCCACGGAAGGCTGATGGGCACCCTAGGAATGCTGTGCTTTTGCCTGTTTCTCAGGAGGAGCTCAGCGATGCAAAGTCAATGATTGAAGAAATCAGTGCCAAGCAGGAGGAAATGCAACAGAAAATTGAGCAGCTGCAGCAAGAGAAGCGGCGGGAATCACGGAAAATGAAAGCTAAGTAAGGGCCCAAACTCCAGAGTCCTGAAAATGCTAATTAGCAGTGGTGTCCATTTTGTTCCTTTCTGTGTAGCATAATTTCTTAATTTTTTTTCCTGCTTGGACATGTGTATCAACTCTGTTTATGACCAGAAATGCTTCAGTTCACCCCAGGCTCTTAGACACACACCCCACAGAGCAAACACAGAAGAAAAATGCTAACACCTCACTGTGATCCAAGAGCAAAGCAGCCCCCAGCAGAACCAGGGCCTGGCTGAACAGAGACCCACTAAAGCCATGCTGGGGCTGTTGAAAGCCTCCACCATTCAGACAACAAGCTTCCAAGCTTGTAGGACTCAATGGGCTCCTGATGGTGCAGTCGTGCTCTTCTTTCCTGTCACCAGCCTTTTCTCCTCTGAGCAGAGTCAGAGAATGTTTTCACACTGCTGGGCCACACTGATGCTGTGATGAAGCAGACAGTTGTCCAGCTTGATCCTAATTAGCCTCCTTCTGAAAACAGAGTTTTGATCATGAGTCTATACAGCTGCCTTGGTGCAAATACTGCAAATCTAGGCTAGCCCCTCAGCTAATTAAGCTATTTAATTAGATGAAACATGCTCTGCAAAATAATAGATCTCAAATAACCTTCTCCTGTAGCCAGTGGAAGTTATTTCCAGAACACTGTTCATGAACTGCCAATTCCATCAAAGCCAGCTCCTTTCCTGGTCTCTGCTAGAGCTGTCCTATTTCTGACAGTGTTGGCCACAAATGTGGTGTAGGAGCTTCACCTGTAGCATTCAGACTTTCCAACCACCTTGTTCTTTGTGTTTGTACAGGAGAGCACAGAAGGATGACCACGGGTCACAGACAGTGCCAACACCTCTCCAGGGCAGCCCGTTTCGATCCATCAACCTCCCAGAACCTGTGCTGATTAATGAAGATTTTACAAGTCTTTTACACAACGTGACTTATGAAAAAGGTAAGAAAAAGAATAGGCAAATACAGTGCCTTCCTCAGGAAAAAAAATCAGAAAAAGATCACTGGGGTAACCTGGGTTCACAAAGTATTTGCTTTGCAAACACTGTCTCAACAGCCATTTCTTGCCTCCTCCAAGGAGAGCGATACAGGATCTTCATTCCTGTAGTGCTAGTGGCACAGACACAGAACCAAATGGGGCTTGATAAAAATCCTGATTTTGTTTCTGTGTGAGGGGGCAGGGCACAGGAAGGAGGATCTCACCTTGATGAAGAAAACACTGTCAACTGCCAAACACTTGGAAGTTGGAATCAAAGAAAAGGAGATGGATCAGAGCCTTTCATTCCGTAATTAAGTCTGGGGGTCTAAGTTGGTCTATTACTCTCTTGCTGTTTAGATAGGAAGATAATAAAAACATATTCATTAAAAAGGTCAACAAAGGCAGAGATTAGAAAAAAACATGTACTGTTTTCTACTCAGTTTTGCTCAGAACCTGTCAGTTGTGGCCCTCCTCTGCCCCACGCTCTGAGGTGGCACATCAGCCCTCTCCTTCACATCCCTCTTGCACAACCACCTTTCTCACCCACTTCTCCCACTGCTCCTTTCTTTCCAGTCTCATCCCTCTGCTCTTCAATAAGCTCCTTTCCATGCAAAATATCAGCCCTATCTCTGTGTCAGGTCTCCATCCTCTTTGTTCTGTGTGGAGTACCTTCTGCCCAACATGCACCTGCATGCCAGGAGAAGCCAAGGCTGCTCACATTCCTCTGCAGTCACACAGCACTGAGCACAGCAGGGACCCCACATTATCTGTCTGCAAGGGCTACTGAAACACAGACTTGTGACAAGAGCCCAGCAGAAAAGATCCTCCTTACAGGAGAGTCCCACAGGAGTGTTTTCATAGCAAAATGTGAAAGACTGGCAGGGCTTGGCAGGAAGAAGCAAACTCTACAGTTGCCTTCTGTTGCTAAAGTTCCCTTTGTTCTTCAACAGTGTCTGACACCAGGATCATGCCCATGGGAGAAGGAGGTGTGAAAGTCATAGCAGGCCCAGGTAATAAAATATCAAGCATCAAAAAACAGCAGGACAATGATTCAATTAGAGTGCTTGCTTTACTGGTCTGAAGAAATGCTTTCAGGGAAGGCATTTCACAGGGATGTCTTTCACTCTGCCCTGCACCTCCATTTTCCTACTTGCAAACCTGTGTCCCTGAAGTGTCTCTAGTGGTCAGTGCCAAGGATTTGGCAGAGAAAGCCTTTCTGCTGTTGCTTTCTTAGATTCTAAGTGCTTTTGCAGAAAGGAAGAATTGAAGCAAGAGCACTACTTTTCCCACTTGGGAAGAGAAGGTGTTTCTGCTTCTCTAACATATGTCTAATTTTGGATCTTATTTGGCTTGAAAATAAATGCTGGAAGAGAGCAAACCTTGTTCTGCTGAAGAGCTCACCAACTGCAGTTCCTTTGTAAATTAACTCTACAAGGCTACAGCCCTTGTGAAGCACAAAGAATGCTCCAAATTCACCTTCCAGTGCTTCAAATGGATGGGAACACAGCTTAGCTGCTTGCTGCAGCATAACCTGTCAGAGAGATGCTGAGATGTCAGAGTCCATAGACCTGTCTGTCATTGCAGGAGCAGCCATAGAGACAGATGACAGCCTCAAGCCTTCCCTGGCAACAGAGGGACAGTCAAAAATGCATCTGCCATCAACAGTATGGAAGCAGCCCAAGGACACCAAGGACTGGGGAGATGAATACATTTCCAAAGAGCAACCAGAGAGAGGGAAAGACATGGGCCAAAGCAGATACAGCTCAGCAGACAACATAATATGTGAACCCTCTTTGGCTGGTAAGGAGTAGAAAACTTTGGCTAGAGAGGCTCAAAGCTGGTGTGAGCTGGCTGGTGATCAGCATCCATGGAGGGAGACACACAGGGAAGTTTCTGCTCCTGGGGGGAATCTCTCAGGGCCTCACACTCCAGGACCTCTGGCCTTTGTATTTGTTGGGCTGTGTGACTGACAGAACCACTCTGTACCCAGGACAGCCCTTCTCCTTTCCAAGACCTCTCAGGTTCAGAGTACTGATGGGATTGCAGCAGAGTAGTTGCTTAAGTGGGTGAAAAATACAACTGCTCATTCTGCAGGGTTTCTGCAGGATGTGAAACCCTGATATGAGTTGTTTTGCCTTTGATTGCTTGTTTCATTATTCTTAGAAAAAAATTGTATTCATGGGGGAAATTCATCTGCTTTGGAGCTTTCTTAGCAAACTGAGGCACTGGTCATGGCTGGGGCATGCTGTGCCCATCAGGGTGGAGTTTTACATTTTGGATAAAGAAGACACAAAAAGATGAGACACTGATATAATTTTTAAATAAGTTTCTCCTTTCATGATCACTTCATCAGTCTAACATGCAGCTGTCCTTGAGGTCAGTATTTTCTTATTTTTAAACTTAACCATTATCTTCTGGAAGCCAAAAGGCAGAACATCGCCTTGGAGCTGCTGGAGTCAGAAAGGAAGTACGTCATCAACCTTTCCCTAATCCTGAAGATCAAGGCCACGCTGCAAGGGCCAGATGTGAAAAGAAGCACCAAAGAGAGAAGGTATTTGATGTAATGTGCTCTCTGTCTTTTGGAGAGTTTTCTTCAGTCAATATTACTCCTGCATTATCGCCTCACAAACTTTTCTTAAATCCACACAGAGATCTTTGAACACTTAGATTATTTCTAGTTGAAATCTGGAGGCACGGGGAGGTTTTTGCAGTCATTAAAGACATTCCTGCCTGTCCCTTGCAGCTTGTCCACCATCTTCATTCTGATTCTGGGTGAAATCAACATGAAGTGGCAGGAAGGCAGTAGCACATTTTGACCAGCTCTGCATCAACGGGTTGTCTTGTGAAAAGGCCTGACAAATAGGACAACACAGAAAGCTGGGGAGCTCTCCTCCAAGCTCTCAGTGGGATGGCTCAGGGCCATGGTCCTGCATCATCAGCCACAGCAGCATTGCCTGGGGCTTTTTAGTGCTGCCAGTTCTGGTCAGCTACTCAATGCATTGCAAGGAAAGCCTAAGGAGCTTTCAAAACACTTTATCAATAGCAGCTGGAGAGGGTACTTGCATGTACACAGCAGCCAGAACAGGACCCCCAGATGCAGCCAGGGCTCCAGCCACAGGAGTTAGTCACACCTGCACTCTTGTAGCAATGATAGGTGCAGTCAGTATTACACGTGCAAGGCTGTGCTGACCACTCAGGAATGCCCACTTCAGCAGATTTCACTTATTAGGGATGAGGTTTTGCTCTGTGTAACCAGTTTGATTTGGTCTCCCATCAGCTTTTTCCCCAACTCTTTGCGGTTCCTGGTGCAGCAGCACGTGGATTTACTGCACGCTCTCCAGGAGAGAGTCCTGAGCTGGCCACGACAAGGCATCCTAGGAGACATCTTCCTGAAGCTGACAAATGATGAGGTGTGTTAAAGACCTCTCCAGAATCTTCTGTCATGTTTCATTACATTTTATTGAGGTGCAGGTGGACCAAGACACTTTGAACAGGGGCTGTGCTGTGCAGCTGTGGCCTGAAGGGCAAGGCCTTCCAGTAACCCCTTTGGAGCACAGTCCTGGGGCATGGCAGCTCCTTGGGTGTTCAGGGCTCCCACATGCCAGACCCACCTGTGGGCAAGCAGCCTCATAGCACAGCTCCATAAACTACATGAGACCCAGACCTGCTTGCAGGAGCCACATGTGAGCCCTGACAGCTTGAATGGCTGTAATTCCAGTGAGGGTGTGAAAAGAGAGGGGTTCTGATGCTCCCCTGCCCCAGTACACCTTGCTCAGAGTTCTGACAAGGAGCTGGGCAGGCAGAGGCCCACATGGTTTGTTGCACCCATTTCTGTTGCCCTGGTGAGCAGCAAGGATGTGTAAAACTCATCTGATACTTTATAAATTTTAAGAATCTTAGATAAGAAGAGCTTCTTACTGCCCAGTCTCTCTACCCCTCCCCACCAGCAGTAAAGCTGAACACACTGTGCTCAACAGCTGAACACATTTTATAAAACAGACTTTCCTGAGAAGTTCCAAGCTCTGAAGGAGTGAAACAGCAGCTCTGCTGCATTGGTGACCTTCCAGCAGTGATGGTGGGGAATTAACTGAACCAGTTTGGCTGGGACCAAAAATCTCTGTTAAGTTTGTGTGTTCTTTTCTCTTTCTCTTTTGTAAGAATAATTTTCTGGACTACTACGTTGCTTACCTGAGGGACCTGCCAGAATGCATCTCTCTGATCCACGTGGTGATCCTGAAGGAGGTAAACTTCCTGCCTGCTTCCCAGCACACAATGGCAACATGCAAAGATCTCTTCCTGTTATGCCTGCCCATGACAGGACTCTCCTGCCAATCCACTTGTTCTGTTTCCTGGAGGTTGCTGTGGCTGACTGGCACCTCCAAAAGGCAGCGTTAACACCTTCCTCACTGTCTCAAACCTAAGCAGCTTTTCTGCTGTGCCATGAAACAATGTCTCAGATTAAACCTCCCAGAAGCTTGCCTATGCATGTGCTATCCAGACTTTTCCAGGAACTGTCTCCTGGAAAATGGAGGATTCATCCAAACAGAGGGATCCAGTCCTTTCTAGAGAAAAGAGTCTTCACTTTCAGCTTCAGCTATTTGGTTCTGGATTCTTGGGTTAAACTTTTAAAGTTAAATATATAGTTTAAAGTGCAATAACTTAACCCCATTTACTTGCTTCTAAGATATTTTAATTTAGAAGTCAATCTCACTTTGTTCAATTAATTTGAGCCTAAACTAAGAACTTCATTCTGAGCAACGGTGTCTTCTTGGGGTTTCACTGAAACTTTTAACTAATGCACTTTCAACGTGCCCCCTACTGTATTAGGCTGGCTGTCCCTAGTAGATAATCCCCAGCCTAAATGCCTGGTGTGCCCCTGCGAACTGTTGTAACTCCTTACAGCATAACTACTCATTCAAGCACAGAACCACCTGGAAGGAGACCTGTTTTATGGGTGGAAAAGACTCTTAAGTCACTTTCTCTATTTCAGGTAGAAGAAGAAATCAAGTCAGATCTCTACATTCTGTTCTTTCATATAGTCCAGCGAATCCCTGAATACCTTATTCATCTACAGGTAGGGCCCCAGGATGGAAACTGTTGTTGAACTCTAATCACATCAGGTGACTTTTAACTCAGAGCTGGTATTTGGGCCTGTACAGGTACAGGGTCCTGACAAACCCAGTGGGTTCTCTGAAGGAAAAAAAAAAACAAAAAAAAACCAAAAAAAACAACTTTTAAAGGGAAAGCCAGCTAACAATAGGTAAAGTTTCATCTTTTTCACATGAGGCTTGCTTATATTTGGCCTTGAATTGGCCTGACAGAAGCGGCTTTTGTCCCCTGGGAAGCCAAAAGCTCTGCTGTCTGCTGCTCTGGGAAAACAGGAGGCCAGAGATGGGGCACATCTGAGAGAGCTCCTAGGGCCCAACAAACTGTCCTACAGAGAGATTGCTGATAAAAGGAGTTCTGGTTCACAGAAGGTTTATCTGAATTGTACTGAAACATTTCAGGCAAGGCAAATACACAGAGAGCAAGCCCTAGAAATCAAAATACTGATTTATTCACCCTAAGCTAAACTCAACCAGTGCATCACCCACACATCCCATGATTACATTTACAGTGGTTCCTTGTGCATTTGCACTGGACTAGTGGGAGGCAGGCCCCATCCAAGTCCCTCAGAAACTCCTCAAAGCTCCCCCAGGGCAGTGCCACGAGCACTCCAGAGCCCTAATCCATGGTTCCAATAGTGCCTTCTCCCCAGAAAGGGTCAGGACAGCCTCCAAACAGCCTGCTCTCCTCTGTGCCTCAGAATGTCCTGAAGTTCACGGAGCAAGAGCACCCTGACTATTACCTGCTGCTGGTGTGCGTGCAGCGCCTCCGGGTTTTCATCTCCCACTACAGCCTCCTCTTCCAGTGCAATGAAGACCTGCTGATACAGAAGAGGAAAAAGCTGAAGAAGTAAGCACAACATCAGCTCATTCTCTCTGTCACCAGGGAAGGGAGGGGTGGGGGAAGCCTGGCAAACGGGGTTTAGGTCCAGGCACGATCAACAGGCACATTGCTCTGTTGAAATAAAACAGAGCCCTTTGCATCTGAATGCTGGAAAAGAACCATATTGGCATTTGCCCTCCAAAATGAGTCAGATTTGGGGTGGGCCCTTCTGCCTAACTCTGAGAGCAAAAGAAAAATCACTTCTAAATCCTTTTAAATAAAGCAGCCACGTTTCATGGAATTATTTGATTCCTTAAGCTGGTGGCAAAGTCACTCCCCAGTGGGAAAACACACGGGGATTTAGCTCTGGCAGCTCCAGGCCCTGGTGAGGGTGAGGACTGTTTCCTTTATGGACTGAGACTCCCAAAGAATGGTGTTATCTTATTTTACTGGGGGAGGAGGTAGGAGAAAAAAAAGCCTCCTGTAATAACCTGTTTGAGTTGAACTATGACAGAAATTACCCTGAATGTAGATTCTCAAGGTGCAGTTCAGAACAATTCCTTGAAATCAAGGTATTTTACTAAAATCAGAATCTGGTTGCCTTTGCTCTTTGTGATGATTTACCTGAGGAGTAGGACAAGATCAAATTTCAAGGGAAGCTTCCAAGTATGGAGGGTGGTAGAGGGCTGGAGCAGATTGCTGGGGAGGGACTGCAATCAGGAGTGGTGTTAAGAGCACCACAGAAAGCAGGATGCCCTGCTGGCTGGAGCAGACTAGGTGGAACAAGCTCTTCCTTGGGGTGGGCAGAGGTGAACAGGAATATTAAGGTTCCTCCCAGTCCTGTTTTCTGTGATTCTACATGCTCGTGCTCATTCCCTGCCTTATTTCTTAGCCCGACGATGGATTTCTCCTCCCTCAGGTCATCCCTGGTGAAGCTGTACAAAGGTCTCACCTCCCAGTGTACAAGCCAGGAGGTTTCTCCAACACCCAGTGCAGCATCAATGCGGGACAGTGGGATCCACACTGAGGAGGCCATACAGTCATTCCCAGCAGCACCTTCCTCTGGCACAACCACCCCGTAAGCCTGTTGTCCTTGTGGGCAGCTTTCAAAGTAGCTGAAAACTCTCCTCACCCACACCATGCCCATGACAGCAGGCAGCTACAGGCTGTAATTTCCAAAACCACTCCCTGTGTATGGATAGAGTGATGGAGGGCTGGCTCCATCCTGCTATCCCCTACTGTGGTTTACAAGCAGGGGATGTTTCAGAGCTTTAGCCAGGCTGCCTGCTAAGGCAGTACGTCAGGGAGGACATGAATTTGTTTAGGCCTCACAGCGGTGTGCACAATAACACTACATTATTCACTGTCAGCATTACAAGAGCTGGGAAACAGGACCAAGGTCTCAGAGCAGGGAAAAAAACTTTTCCAGACAGCACATACCTGAATGATGTGATTTGCTACCACAAGATACAAAATGGGTTCAAAAAGACACAAGACTAAGTCAAGACAGACAGGGCTACTGGTAACACCTGGAAATCTTCACAGAATCACAAAATATTCTGAGTTGGAAAGGATAAGAATCATTGAGTTCAACTCCTGGTCCTGCACAGAACCATCCCCAAGAGTCACACAGTGTGCCTGAGAGCATTGTGCAAACACCTCTTGAACTCTGTCAGGCTGGTGCTGTGACCACTGCCGTGGGGAGCCTGTTCAGTGCCCAATTACCCTCTGGGTGAAGAAACTTTTCCTAATATCTAACCTAAACCTCCCCTGACACAACTCCAAGCCATTCCCTCAGGTCTGTCACTGGTCACCAGAGAGAAGAGACCAGTGCCTGCCCCTATGCTGTCCTTCATGAGGAAGCTGCAAACTGCAGTGAGGTCTCCCCTCAGTCTCCTCCAGGCTGAACAGACCAAGTGCCTTCAGCCACTCCTCATATGGTTCCCCTTTGGCAATTTCCAGCCTGACAGGTGCCAAATGAGATGGTGATCAGAGAAACACTCTAGACTTAGCTTTATTCTTATGCCAGCAATTTGTGGCTATTGTGGTTTCTTATCTCGTTTGATACTAACAAGAGTTTGGCTGCATCATTCCCAGTCCCCTCTGTTAGCAGTGTTACACATCAATCTTTAGCCTTCCTCTCCCCAGACTGCCCAAGCCAATCTCCCTCCTCTCACAGACAGATTGCTCCAGCCCTCCACCTTGGTAGCCTCAGCTGGCACCATCCCCCTTCAGCTTCATCCTGAGCTGAAGACTCAGCTGGAACACATGGAGGGTAGGAGCCCTCCAAGTACTCTTGACACATTTTGGGGACAGAGTCACTTTACCCAAAAGAGAAACCCAGTCCACCTGAAAAGACAACCAGACCACAGGAAAGTGAGGCACAGCTCCTACATTACAGAGAGAAGGAAAGCTGGAATCTAAAATGCAGATGAGCAGGAGAGAGATGGAGCAGTTGGCTTTTCATCTCAGTTTCTATTCATTTCATGGTGTAGAACACAAAGGTCAGACAAAGCTACGGGATAAGCAGTTCTGCTTCTCCAAGTTTGGTCCTCCAAACCAGCCAGGCCATTTCTGTAAGAGACACCTCTGTTACTGTTCTCCAAGACAGGAGAGTACCTTTTGGCCATAAAATCAACACAATAGGGCTGGAGGAATGAAGGGGTGGGGGGAATTTGTCATGCTGCCTCTGTCATCCTTTAGTATTCCACTTTTGTCTGTTTTGTTTTGGTTTTTATTTCTAAGGCATTTGATGCCGCAGATGAAGAAACCCCAGCCGACAGTGATGGAGAACATCCAGGCTGTAAAGCCCCCTGACTGGGAGATGGAAAGCAGAAAACACGAGAGGCCAGAGAACATCCTTGCCTCTTCTCAGCTGACAGAGCAGGAACTCAAGGCCTTGACAGCCCCCTTGCAATCCATCCCCGAAATGGAGTACGAAGCGCCGCCGGCTGACGCGGTGGGGAACACCGAGAGAGCCATCAGAACCTCTGTGGAACTGCTGCAGGATGCCAGGAACTTTGCACCAAGCTACGAAGAGTTTGACTACCCTGGGGAGGTTTTCACCATGCCAGGCCCCTACGAAGATGACACCTTCCAAAACCTTGCTCTCTTTGAGAACTGCTCCCCGGCCTCTTCTGAGTCCAGCTTGGATATTTGCTTCCTTAGGCCTGTGAACTTCACCTCAGAACCGGAGAGGACAGACCATGCCTTGCAGCCACTGCCTAAGAGCTGCACTCCCGTGAGCAGCAGCACCTACAAGCGTGAGATGTTCCACAGCAAAGGGAAGCAGCTGAGCAGGTCCCTGAAGGAGCTGCCGCGGAGCGCGGAGGGCGTGAGCACCAGACTCTACAGCACACGGAGCAGCAGTGGGAGCCGTCTGCAGCAGAAGCAGGACAGGAATGTTCAGCCTCACATGATTTCAGCCTCATCTCGAAGCTCCCAAAGGAGCTACTTCCCCCCACAGAGAGGAGCGGGTGAAAAACCGAGCTTTTTGGAAGTAAGGAGGCTTAAATAGGAGGAGGAAAAAAAAATGGCACATGGTGGTGCAGCAGCATCAGCAGCAGCAGGAGAAAGATCTGAGATACAGTTAGAGTAGAACATGCCAAAACAGCTTTCAAGCCCACTCATTCCAAGACCTCAACTGCATGTACATGCCCAAGGGAGGGACAAGACAGCTCATTTTCACACACATCTTCCCCAGGCACAAGCACGGGTTGAGGTGCACAGCTGGCTGAGCTAGAACACCTTTGAGACAGGGTAGCCTCTTGCGTGTCTCCACTGTTACTGAGCTTCCCCCCAGGTGAATGTTCTGAGCAGGTCACAAAGTTTACACAAAGCTGTTCAAAATTAGTGCTGTGGTTGGCACCCAGGTAAACAGGTGCCTTTCCACCTGCTCTGAGGAGTGCTGGGTAAGTGCTGGATAAGTCATGCCAGTGTAAACCAGCATGACTTGGCCAAGCTCAGCCCATTTACACCAGCAGGGATCTGGTCCATAGGTTTTGTTTCACCTGTATTTGTTGCCTGGATTGTACAGACCTATGCCAAACTCTCTGTAAGAACAGTCAGAGCCTAGCAACTGTGTCCCTCAGATGGGACACGGCAAATGGCACTGTAACCCTTCAGGGACACCAGGTCCTGCAGGAGCAATGTTTCTGTAGTTTGCAGTGACTGTTCAGAGTCAGCTTTGGGCTGTCACAGCCAAGGAAGTAGAGGCCAAGGGTGCTCTGAGGTGCTTAGACAGGAGACTGTAGATGCCAGTGATGATGGGAGATAGATTCCAACAGCCTGACTGAAAAGGCAGCAAGGAAACTTCAAAATAAAAGAAAAAAAAGCCTAGTGAGTGAAGGAGGTGGTAGATGGTTGAACAGGGGAGATGAAGCAGAGGAAGAAGAGCCACAGGGACACAGGTACCCCAGAGAAAGGGGCCGATGAGCTCTTTAGCACCCACCTGCACAGAACTAGGGCCCAAAGCTGGGTGCAGATGTGGAGCTTGTCCAGAACTGCAGGACATGTTCTCTCCCACAATGCAAAGGAAGTCACCATGGCAGTGGTGGGCAGAATTGGAGTGAAGGGTCTCGTCCAGAGTCTTGCTGAGAGGAGCTTGGCACTCTCCTGAAAGAGGGACAGATCTTTTAGTGGCACATTTACCACAAGGTGTGTGTGCTAATGAAGCCACACAGACATAAAACTGTGCAGCAGCAGAGACAGTGAAAGAATCTTTCACACCTTATCAAAGCTCCAAAGCCTGATGCCTCCCTGCCCTAGGGGAGAAAGGAGAGGGTGGGAAGTTTTTCCAACTGCCCAAGCTGGCTTGCTCCCTCACTGGCAAAAGAAGCTAATGAGCTCCCCCTAAACAAAAAGCTTAGCAAGAAAGGCTCCAGTTCCCTCTAACAATGCTTATCCTTCTATTCCTCTGTCACTGCCTCAGCCCTAGGGCCAGCAACAAGCTCTCTGCAGAGGTACCAGTGTTGCTTCCCAGCCTTGTCAGCACCTCCTCACCCACCAGGTTCCTCCTAGCACAGAGAGAGAGAAATAGAGAGAGAGCAGGGAACAAGAATGTGAGGTTGCAAATGCTGGTTAAATTGTCTTTTCCCTTTTAGGAGCTCCATGCAGAAGACAACACCAGGTTCTGCCAGAAGGATGACAATGAGCAAACATCCTTCAGCGACCACAACCCGCGGCACGAGCCCAAGGGGGGGTTCCGCAGCTCCTTCCGCAAGCTCTTCAAAAAGAAATAAGCAGCCCCAGGAAAGGCAGGCCACAGCCAAAGCACAGCAGTGCTTCCCCAGGTCCCCGAGGGTGGAGACAGACAGCAAGGCCCCAGCATCCCCCTGACTAACACAGAGGGTGGAGGGTGGGGGAGAGGAGACTCTCACAACTGCCTTACAAATGCATCCTGCTCTTTCTAGCACAGGGCAGGGCCAGGCTTTGGGTTGCAGTGGAGCTCAACCAGCAGGTCCAATAAGCACAGGAACTTGCTAGCTTTCATCTCTACCTGACTGAACTTCCCTCAGTTTTGGAAAGCTTTGGCCAAACCCTAATATCTTCTCCTCCCCTCCATCCCCCAAAACTGCTTGATTTGCCATACGTCTTTGCTCTTCCAAACTCAAGGCAGGTCTTGTTTGGCCTCAACCACAACAGAAAGGTTACCTTTGCAGCCCTGGCCAGAAGTCTAAAATTCTCTTCTTTCCTGTACTTTCAAAAAAAAAAACAAAAACCACCATCAAAGATGCATTCCAGGAGGCCAGCTCGCATTACAAGTGGTTTGAGAAAGTCTAAGAAGCATCAGCTGAAGCACCGAGCGTTGCACTGCCTAATCAGCTACATCCTTTCTTTTGGACTTCCATCACTCGCCAAAATCCTATATCACCTTCTATGTGAATGCTGTTTTCCTGAACTGTGTCCTGCTATAGGAATCACTGCTTCTGCTCTCAGAATCACCCGTGTCTCCAGGCAGGTGATGCAGGCTGGGCCCAGGGCCTGCCACAAGGGACTCTTCTCCACCTTATCCCCAGTGTGGATCAGTGCAGACACTGGTAGTGCCAAACAGTGTCCTGGCTCCTGGTCTGCAGCACACCTGGAATATACTTTGCTAACTCTTTGGCCTGACACCCTCACGAGCCCCATCACGTGCAGCTCTAGAAATGTTCTCCCAGCTCAAAATCAAGGCACTAGGGCAGGAAAGCTGATGGTGCACCGTGTTCAGAGCCATAGCCCTCCTCCTTGTGCAAGGACAGATCAACGAGGCTACCCTCCTCACAGCACCTGGATGTGAGAAACCCTCAGTAACTGATCTCTGCAGAAGAGTGAGCAGCTCTGCTGTGATACCTGTGTCACACACTGGCAGTGAGAGCACGCTGGCTCAGTGAGTTACCAGTGCAGTACTGGTGAGCTCTGGTGTCACCTGAAGCAGGGACGTCCTGAGGGCAGTTTCAAAAGCAACTGTGGTTTCATCAGCTTGTTTTCACATGCCTGGGACACTGGTCTGTCTAAAGGACAGCTTCACCTTAAAAAGTTGTGAACTGTCTCCATGGGGCCAACAGCAATGCCTTGGGGGAAATACTGTGAGACTGGGGGCTTGGGAGTCCCCACATCAGTGCAAGGGTGGTTGGTTTTGGGGCCAAGAGAAGAGCACCCACCATGCTGCATGGCTCTCCTGGCCGTGGCAGCAGGACAGGGGAGCCCAGAGCAGGTGTCTGTGGCCAATATCTGCTGCAGATGCAGGGCCCAGAGCTCTCCAGTGTTGATTGACCTGCACCTACCACCTGCTTTTCCTCTGCTGGAGGCAGAGGGGTGTGTGTGAAAAGGGCTGTCCAGACAGACAAAACCAATCCTTTACTGCAATCAAGGTTTTCCCAACATTTCAACAATGTGACCAATCAAAACCCCAAAGACTAAAATGTTTTAGCTGGTCCCTCTCCCATAGATTTTAATGAAACAAATACCCACTTCTCCTCCTTACAAAAAGGAAAGAAGTACCATACTTTCCTCCCCTAGCTTTTGAAAACTATTCTGGGAAGATTTTTTTTAATGTAAGGCTTTTAATGGAAAAAAAATCCCCTTCCATCTCCCTCCCTTTCCCTCACATCCTCATAAAATTACAAATTCCATGTCCCTTTCCAGTCAGGACTGCTTCATGCTGACCAGCCACTGAATCACAAAGACTGTTCCTAGGACTTGGCAGCTTTAATCAGACTGTGCAGGGCCAGGATAGAAATTATGTAGGAAGAGCCAGATACTTGTAACTGAACGATCAGCAAAGCCTGTTTGTTCTGCACAGGAATCAGCCACAGACAGAGCAGTTTGTTTGTCCATGGAGCCAGAGCTGTATCATTATGGACAAGTGTCCATTGTAATGCACTGATCCTGTCAAGGGCTCTGATTCTTGTGGTTTTGGTCTCATGTATGTAATGACACTTCAATCCGTCACAAAACAAATCTGCTTTTCATATTTGCCAAGCAAAAAACCAGGACAGAAACAGGACAAAGGAAAAAACCCTACCTGCTAACATCCCCTGGGTGAGGAAATCCTTCCAAAGTGGCAGACTCTTGCTTGTAAAATGCATGTGGATTTCAGCTTCTATTTTAGTGATTTAAGGCACAGTCAGAACTGATGGTTATTTCTTTTTGATTCTCTGAGTTCTTACTTCCAGGCCTGTACTTACCACTTGAGATGTCCTTGTACCTGCTCAGAATCTGCAAATGTAAATAGTATGAATGAATGATGCTCAGCACCACACATACACAGCCTGTCACAGGGTCCATTTCAAATCCATCTTTAGTGTACATGTGTGCTCTGGATTATTTTTCTTCCTTTGCCAAATAAACGTTGCCTTTAAATAACACTGTTGCCTCTTGCACTGAATCAGCCAGAAGGCTGCATCCATTAAAAGAAGAAACAGCTGTTTCTCTGGTCCCTGAGGCAACATTACTTACACAATCCTGTATCCCTACAAGTCCAGCCATGCAAGCAGACACTGCTCCCTACACAAAGTTCTAAGGCTCTTATTCAGAACCCAGCTGATTCACTCTCAAGGCTTCTGGTCAAGATCCTGTTGTTGGTGTAGCTCACTGTGACAGATCTTCATCTCCTTAAGACTCTTCCAGACCACACCTCTCCACAGCTACACTCCCTGTTTAAGTCAGCCATCCTAGACTCAAAACAAAAAAAGGCTTACTCTGAAATAGATGCAACAAACTTGTCCAAAGCAATTCCAATAACATGTGCCCTTGATCACCTACCTTTGGTTGCCTTCTTTTTAAAAATATTACAGATGTTCTGTACCTTTTGGCAGCTAAATTGTCATGCATCTGGCAAAAGGCTTTTTATTTTTCCCTTTCAACTTTTCAGCCACCCAGTACAGGATTTCACACTTGCTGGCTAGAAAGTAAGAAAAGAACCTTACTCTTTACTTCATTTCCCTCATAATGCACTATTTTCCCCTGAACACAAAAGGTAAATTTGCTCTCAGTGCACAGAAAAATACATTTAAAGGTGGTTTGTTTTTTTTAATGGAAAATAAGGAATGGAATTTACAAAATAAGTTAAGAGCAGTTTTGTCTTTACACCTGTATTAGGCCACAGGTTTGTCTCCCAAAGAAAGACTTCACCTCTGCACTATATGGATTTAGAAATGGTAATTAAACAATCTTTTCAATGAAGCACAATAATCTACTACGTTCAACAGTGGTACCTCCAGTGATATCACTGGGAAAATCTAATTTAAAACACACACGAAAGAAAAATGATTAAATAATCCCACAATGTCACTCTGAAACTTGAAGGATCTATAATCCAGTGTATTAGCATGCTCAGAGACAGGCCTCTCCCTCCCTGATTTAAGAGAGGCATATTAGAGCAGCAGGTTAGCCCACACTGGAAATGGCTTCCTGAGGATGGAGCACTCCAACACTTCCCTGATATCAACCCTGAAAGAGGAGAATACTCCCCATCAGCAGCCAGGTTTGCTGCAGGGGCTGCTGAATGCCACAACAATAATGTGTCACCATGGGGTCACCAGGCAGCACAACAGTGACTTCCCACACAGCAGCTGGACAGAAGCAAATGTTCAGCACCTGCAGAATCACCACAGAATCATGGAACAGTCTGGGCTGGAAAAGAACCTTTAAAGACCACCTAGCCCAACCCCCTGCCATGAGCAGGGACATCTTCACCTAGAGCTGGCTGCTGAGAGCTCTTCCAGCCTGACCCTGAATGTTGCCAGGGATGGGGCATCTTCCACCTCTGGGCTACCTGTTCCAGTGGTTCACCACACCCATTGTAAAAAACTTCTTCTTTACACTTTGTCTAAATCTTCCCTCCTTTAGTTTAAAGCCATTACTCTGTCCTACTGCAAGAGGCCCTGCCAAAAGAAGGTTGTCCCCAACTTTCTTATAAACCTATGAAGTTCTGCTACATAACCCTGCCTACACAGCTTGCAGTGGTTTTGGCTGCCTTTTAGCCATATATCAGCTCTCTACAGCAGTACAGCAACTCTCCAGGCCTCCACACGAGCACATTTCATTGTCCAGGCCACACCTGACCAAATCAGGGTCATTTACCAAGGAGGCAGAGAGTAAATCATTTAATAATGATTTAATAAATCATTATTAAAATGATTTAATTTTCTATGTGAAAAGTATTGTCACTTATGCAAACATGATCCAAGTAAGAAGCCATTCCAGATCAGAAATTATTAACACACAGCTGCCACGACACAAATCAGTGGCTTAGCAGTTGTATTCAACTCCTAAATGCTACAAGTTTGATTCTGACCCTGTCCTTCCTGTTTGCAGCAGAGTCAACACCACGATTTGTGCACTGTGACAGACCCCTGGGCTCCAAAGAATGTTTACTTTAGGTTCTAGCATGGTGACCACTGTTACCTGTTGTCCAAGTATCTCACCAGGAAAGCACTTTTATCCTCCACCACAAACAGGGAACAGCATTCCTCACTTCACAAAGGAAAGTGGGGACATTTAAGAAATCTGCTGCTTAGCAGAAGCCATGTCAAGTCCCTCCTGACTGGGCACCCTGAGCACTGGGTGGCCTGCTCTGCCTTGGCTGCCCAACAGCACAGACAAAACGTGCTGAAGAAGAAATACAGATCAGAAAGTCTCAATTTATGGAGTTTTCCTGCTAACCCACTGAGAAGCTAATAACTTAGGTAACATTGCCAACAGTATGCTCATCACAGTGTTTTTATCCAAAGAATCCATAACCTAAACTACACCTCCTGTGGCTTGACAGTTTTTATAAAGCTCCCATATAACGTTGTCCTCTGAATCCACGGTTTTGAGATCTTCACTTTGTTTTTCTTTTGCCAGAAAAAAACTGTTTCAAAACAACACTGTTAAAAACATCTAAGAAGGAATACAACAGACAATTTCAAGATCTGACTTTGGTGAGAAATGCCATTCCTGTTGATGAAATGCTCTCCCAGTGTAACAACCACACCAAAGAATCACAGGGCTCTGATCAATGGCATTACTGAAAGCATTAAAAAAAGGTGATTTCTGCCATCATTCAACTGACACTATCCCTAAGAGATCCAGCTGTCCAAGATCCTGAGATGTGTCCTTCTTCCAAAGAGGATACGTGAAGGAATTTTACTTGCCTCATGAGCCATGTGAACTGAGCATGAGACTCGTTATGCTTCACTTTATGCTTCACATACCTAGTGCAGAGGACATTACAGAGCTCCTTTTCTTCAACAGCTGTCATCCATTACTGTCCCAGTCTCGTCTGGAGCCGAAGAGCAGCATGCAGGTTTATGGATAAACCATGTCAGAATACTTACAACATACCTGTTTTGTCATGTGTATTTTGGACAGAAAAAGCCATTGTAAAGATTAATATAAGTTTGATTTTTTTCTAACATTTGTCATACAGGATGTGGGCAACATTTTGTAAGGTAAAATAATTCACTTTGGGAATAACCCAGCCTCTCAAATATTACTGAATTATTATTTGTAACATGCCAGAAACACCTCTTTAGTCTCTTATTACTAAAATACATACACTGAACTAGGATAAATACGTACCACAAGATGGGCTTTTATCCCCCTCAGTGCTTAACTGAAAAACTAAGTTGAACATTTGTCCATTAATAATTTAACGTATGTCAGCCAAACATATCTTTATCTTTATTTCAATTAAATTAAAAACAATCTGCAAGTATATTTATGCAACATTCACTATATACACACGATTTATGCAACTGCAAGGCAATCCTATGTATGCTGATTATTCTATTGTTAGTAAAACATGACAATAGCTATGGAAGTTGACAAGTGACTGTTTTCATGGCATGACTGAAAAAGAATAGCTACTAGCCATGAAATGGATTATCAGTAAACCTTAAAAAGAACATGACATAACCTAGCAGAGATTAACAGTCTTCTAAATGTAGTATATTTGCTTCAGATGATAGTGCTGCTTTTAAAAAAAAATCGCTGTCACCTTAATGATGTAAGACTTTCATCAGCTCTATCTAAAGAAAGCAATAATTAGACATTATGCTTCCTGGCAAAAATTTATTTTTAAACTGGCACCACAGTATTTCAGAAAATAATAATAAAGTACCTCTTTGGTGAAGCCTAGGTACCCCCTACTACTCATTGTAACAACTTGTAAACAGGACCGCAATACAGTGCTTTGCCTTAATTCTAGCTCGGTTAGGTACCACAGATCTTCCTCACAGTCCTTCTCATAATTTTAGGAAGGTATTTTAAAGCAGGGAGTAAGTAAAGCAAAGGAAAATTAAGAAGGATATAAAGTTCCCTGTTTGAGATTTAAAAAAAGTGCATAATGTTTTCATTCCGAAAACTGTGCCACTGTATGGAACTGATGGATACAAGACTGTTTTTCCTTCCTGTACTGGACATTATCGATCATTACACAAACACAGTCTCTGCTCATTGGCCAAAGAAGTCTCTCCAGACTGGTTTCTGGTACAATCAGCTGTCCAATTATTTTAGAACAAAGTCCTGCATACTAAAACAAGAATAGCAAGTTAACCGGGTTTTCCACTAGAAAGTCTGTTTTTGCAATTCCATTTCTGTACACTACATTTCCAACGCATTGGAGAGTTCTTAGTGTTTGGCATACACATCCCAACTCCTTGACACCACCAGGTTCAGTGCATCCATTGCCAGCAACAGACATAGCACCAGGAAAATGCGACTCCCAGCGCGAGGGACAGTTCAGGAGGAGGGGGCGTTCTCCAGCAAGGGTGGCCCATCCCGATGCATCGACGGGTGCGTGTGCTCCCTTTTGTAAGTTTTTGGAGGAAGCTTTGGGATATGTTGAGAAGTGCTTTGTCGTGGAGGAACGGGCGGCCCAGCAACAGAAGGGAGGTCCACGTCCTGCGGTATCAAAGGCGGCGATGGCAGATGCCTCCGTGCTACATGTGGAGAAGGGGTCTGGGGGGGAGGGGGCGTGAACGGAGAGGGGCTGTTTGGGAAGAAGGCGTTACCAAGTTCGCTTTTTCTCCCCAGGGGTGGAGGCTGGAGGTGTAGTGGTGAGCTAGAGAAAACGTCTGGAGTTCGCACAGGTTCCCGTGGCGGTAGCTCGGGGGGGTTTGCAGTGGTAACACAGGAGTCAGAGATGCAGGTCCGATCAGGCACCGAGTACCTTGGAGAATACACTTTAGAGGTTGGTTGCCTAGGAGGGATTGCTGGTGGGTTGTCCAGGTGTGCAGAAGTAATCTGAGGTACACAAACACTTCAGTCAGTAAAATTCCAGAGTGGCAGCAAAGCACAGGACCCTGCTGTGAAACAGAAGCCCCCTCCTGCACTGCAGATTGCTCTTAGCAGGGCTGCAGCAACACATGAGTGAACAGCCAAGGATGGAAGGCATGAAGATGCACAGAGAGGGACAAAGGCAAGGCAAAGAATGGTCAAAGGAACAATTTCCATGCTAGCTCCAGGTCTGCTTGCTGGGGAGGTTTGGATATCTTCCACCACCTCCCCAGTAAAAAAGCACTTGGAATGATTTAATATGTCAGGAATTTCTTCCAGAAAACTACAAAAAGGGAGAGGCTGATGATGCTGAACAGGGAAAAAAAAACTATGCTGAGAAGATGGAGTTAAGTAGTCAGAACTATGGAAGTGAACAGTTCCCAAGTTGCAGACCATAGTGACAGGATAACTGATCTCCAATGCCCTATCACGTACACAATGTTTTCAAATACATTTTGGTAGCATTTCAGATACATTTTGGTGATGCGTCAAGTTCTGCTGACTGGCAAAACAGTTGCCTGTAGTCTGAAAAGAACTGCTGAAGAGCCACTTAGAAGCTCTCTTCAAAAACATATCTGCTTTGAAGTGATTTTGAGTGGGATTTTCAAATCTGAAGTCACAAACAAGCTTCCACTGAAACCAGGTGAAATTTGACAGTGTCTGCAACAAAGGTTGGATCAGATCCCAGCTGCCAGACAAATGCAAAAGGAAAATGTAGCAATGGCTTAAGCAGGCAGGATAGGTAAGCAAGAGGGGAAAGCAAGCACTTGAGCACCACAGCATCAGGATAAAATATTCTGGTGAAACTTTCCAGAGGACTGAGTTCTGTATAGCACTTTCCATCATTACTGTTCATCAGTTCTTACTCTTAATTAATATTTCCTAAAACGATACTAGGAAACAATCCCAGATGGAAACACCTGCTTGAAGCCTCATGTTCTCACAGGCTATGCAAGGGCATGAGCACAGCACATCAGTAGATGAGACTTTTGTAAATTTAGCTCCCATCTATTTTCATTTGTTTGATATCAAGACATAGTGAGGTAGAGCTGTGAAGGCCTGAAAAACATGGCTGCTTACTCTTTCACATGCAGTTCTTAAAAAAATAAATGTACTGTCTTTGAGAGTTACTTTTCTATCATAGCCTGCCCCTCTTTTCCCAGAAAAACAAATGACCTTTTTTCTGCTTACTTACTTTTGATGGGGAGGATTCAGCTGGGGCAGATTCTGGTCTTCTTCGTGGAGGAACAGGAGGAGGGACAGGAGCATCATCTGAAGTTTTGGTAAAGTTTATGGATGACACAGAAGCAGATCCTAAGGGACATAAAAAACCTGTTGATGATGATGAACTTTTGGCTCAATATTGCTGCTAATAGAGGTGCCATAAATAATGTAGCGATTGCTCATAAAAAGCATAATGAATCAAGGAAGTGGCAAATGAAGACAATGAAACAAGCCTCTAACTTGCAGCTGCCAGAGAAACTGCTTTTCTGAGCTGCAAAGATCTCTGTGACCATCAGCTCCTGAACTTTCTTAAGTAATCCTTGAGACCAAAACCACACCACAAACTTGTTCTTATGTCGCAAAAGCACTGAAATAATATTCTAAACCTGCAGTCAATGGACCCAATAACAAAGAAATCCTTTCTCCAGAGGCTTTCTGAAGACCTGGCTTGGACACTCAGCAACAGCACAGGAACTTCTGTCTTTAGGAAGTCATTTCACCTCCTTGTGGCAACCAGTTGAACACAGGAGTAACCTCTGAAAACCCTTGTATGTGAAAGGAGTCTATATCCATTATTAAATACTGAGGGCACACCACAAAATAT